TCCTTCTAGTTATCAGTATTTTTTTTTTTTTGTACCAGAAATTGAACCCGGGGGCGCTTAACCACTGAGCCACATCCCCAGCCCTTTTTATTTTTTATTTTGAAACAGTGTCTCCTGAGTTTCATAGAACCTTGCTAAATTGCTGAAGCTGGCCTCAAATTTGTGATCCCTGGTCTTAGCCTCCCAAACCACTGGGATTATAAGTGTGAGCTAGTTTTTAATCTTAACTTCCACATATGAAAGAGAACACGTAGTACATCTTGTTGTCCTGTATCTGGCTTATTTCACTTAATGCAATGTCCTTCAGTGCCATCTATTTTGAGAATGAGAGGAATTCATTCTTCTTTATGGTTGAATAATATTCCATTGTGCATATATACACCACACTTTCTTTTTCTTTTCATCTGTTGATGGGCACCTATGTTGATTCCTCATCTTAACTTGGTCTTTTTTTTTTTAACTGTATACAGTAAGAAAACAGAAAGGAATGAAAGTTGCTGGTTGGCACTACTAATATATTTCTAGAGTATTTTCAGTTTAAGGCTATAATAGATTTCTAAGCTGACCCTCCATGATCTCTGTCCTCTGGGTTCATTCTTGTGATTATGTTGTTACTTGGCAAAGGGATTTCACAAAGGTTATGAGTTGCCTGACCTTAAGAAAAGGAGGGTTATACAAGAGGACCTAGCTATTTGAACAGTTTTCTCTGGATAGTTGGAGAAGCAGAAGTCATACGTTCAAAGCATGAGAGGAATTCAAGATGCCAATGATGTCTTGAAAATAGAGAGCTCCACAAGTTGAGACATGTGACTGATGGTGGGAGCTGGGAGTGACCCCCACCAACAGTAAGTGGATGGTACTACAGTACTTTAGTAGTACTTTAGTACTACAACCAGAAATAATTGGATTTGAGAAAGGGGTGTGTCAGGGGAATCTCATGAAGAGCACAGGGAAACTGGTACATTAGAAGAAAGGGGCCGGGGAAGGGAGGAGGGAAGGGAAAGGGGAAATTCTGGGGAACAATATTGACCAAATTATATAATTATGTATAATTATAATAATAATTTAAAAAGATATAACTGAATTTGGTCAACAGCTTGAAGAAAACTTCCAGCTAATATATAGCACCTCCAGCTTGGCTAATACCTTGATTTCAGTCTTTGTGATCCTAAGCAAAGGACCCAGCTAAATTGTGTGACTTCTGATCCAGGAAACTATAAGACAATACATATATGCTGCTTAAAGCTGCTAAGTTTGTGGCAATCAATTATTCAGCAATGGAAAAACAATACAGATTTCAGTACCTAAAAGTAGGATATTGCTATAATGGAAAAAGTATAGAAATGATTTGGAAATCAGGAAGGGGATACAGGATGGAAGAATTTAAAGGAACATGATGGAAGGAGATTAAATTGCCTCAAATTGATTGTTGGTTGAAATATGCACATTAAAGAAAAAGAGTTCTGTTGTTGACAAGTTTGAGGTATATATTGAGAAGCCAAAAGCTACTGGCAAGTAGGAAGGTGCTTACGTGGTTCTGTAAGTCAAGAGAAAAATCTGGGCTAGACAGGTGGGTACAATAACATTACTATTGGGGAAGGGAGTTTAAGTTATTGACAAGGGAGCAATTGGCATGATGAAATCAAGGCTGTTTATGTATAAAATTGAGATAATTTTTCATTGTAACTTTTCAGACAAACAGACTGGAGGCTTGTCAATCTATGACAGAGAGATATAGTCAGGCATTGCCATGGTCTTAAATATTTACATTCTCCTAAAATTCACACATTGAAATCCTATCCTCCAAAATGGTAGGTAGTATTTAGAGTTGGGGATGAGGTTTGTAATGAAGGCAGAACCTTTGTGAATAAATTCATATCCTTATAAAAAAAGCCCCGAAAGAGTTTGCCTTTACACCACTTCATGATCCAGAGTGAAGGTGCCCTTTATGAATCAGGAAATAAACTTCAAAAGACACTGGAAGTATTGGGTTTCTTGCCTCCAGATCTGTGAAGAATAAATTCTATCTTTCATAAGCTAATCAATCTACAGCATTTTTGTTGTAGTAGACCTAATGAGCTAAGATACATAGTATAAAAGTTAAGAAAGAATACATTTTCATGCAAAGGGTGCCCAACTATCTCACCTAAGGGATATGAGGTAAGTGTGGCTTCTTGGGTTTTCCCAGTATTTTACTGAACAACTGCTTAGGTTCATGGTGGTGGTGCTTTACCTATCCAGGATAAGGGACTGCTAGGTTACAGGGAGTTTACTGCAATACTTGTATTTCCAAATATGTCACCCCTAAACTCCAGTAGAATTACTTTAGTACTGAAAAATCTACATTTATCAAACTGCTTTTCCTGGATCTAGCTAGAATTGATTCCAGGTACAATTCCTTCACAAACCACTTGTGCCACCCTGCCACATTATCCTCAGTTTTAGAATGATGATTACTCATCTCATATATGCAGTGACATTGTAAGGGTAAGTAGTATGTAATCAGTTTAAGATCTTAGCATGGAAGCATAAGGCCTACCACCTAGTTCACAGAGTAGTCCTGGCAATTAAATGAGGTAAGGCATCAGTGAAGTGATTTAAGTGCTTAATACAATCCCTGGCATAAACGGAGAGCTCAGTCAGTGGCAGTTGTTATTGTTGTTAATTGCTATTACTTATTTGTTATTGCTATTGCTGTAACAACTCTTATTGCAAAAATAATAGAGTTGGAATAACTGAATGAGAAATTTGGAAGGAGGATTACATATAGTCAGTGGAGTGTTTGAATTTAATATTTAAGAAATGGAATAGTTTCAAGTGATGGCAGAAGTACAGCAATCTAGGATGGGAGTCAGGGTTTGGGGGAAATTGGAGATGTTAGATGAAGGTCATTAGCACTAAGGATGCCAGAGGAGTCCTGGCTGGGAGTAGGTCATCCATGTGGCTATGGAGCTCTCCCAGCATGACGGCATGACTTGAATTAGAAGAGCTGACATCTTTAATAAAAGAAGAAAATACCTGGGCTTTTGTTGGCAGGATTCCTATGCCTGGGAGTTTTTGGATTGTGTGGTATTAGCAGAACTGTTATACCTTTGGAGTTCTCAATACCCTCTAAGTTCAGGAAGTGATTGTGGAGGCCAGGTAGCAGGTGGCTGTTGGGGTAGTGTCTTTGGTCCTTAGCTAGCTGTCTGGAGTACATCTGATGTGCTTTTCCCATTCTTGCAGTCCAGGCAAACTGCTTTGGTTCAGGAAGACAGACCCTCTTAAGCGCTACTTGACTGAACATCACAAAATCTGTTCTCATTCTAATTTAGAATGCAAAGACTCGTGTGGTGACTCATACATTTGAAAAGCTCAAATTAAGTAGGGTGATCTCAACGGTGATTCACTGATGAAAACTGGAAAGTGATTCATCTCTTTTATGTGCTCGTCCTTGGAAGTCACCAGGCTTGTCTTTCTTTGGAAGAACACGAAGAACTCATTGCACTCAAGGAAAGACACTGGGCCCTCCTGTGGTGGTATTTTAGTCATTACAAGGAGTCATTCACAACATTTCTTTTTTTTTAAAACAAGGTCATTTTCTTTAGTTACTTTTATTCTCATCTACAATCCATAAGATGCTCTTGTGCTGTAATGACTCATGCTAATAAATTAGGGAAGGGAATGATGCTTTTAGGCCAAAGGTGGTTGAATATTTGGTACAGATTCACTGTTCTGTAATCTCTAGGGACTACTGTATCTTCTTCAGTATCTATTTGTTATCAAGGAATAAGTTTTTCCTTAGAAAAACAGATGGGTTTAAATGAATTTTATAAGATACTTAGAGGAAATTCTTAAAAAAAAAAACTAGTTAAAAGTGAAGCTGACTTCTACTGTAACAAATAGAACCAAAGATTAATGATTCTTGTATGCCAGTAATAGCACTGTGTGGAGTTAAAAATCAATACTTAAAAGAAAAAGGAGGATCACACATTTGGACACATTAAGTATTTCGTTTTCATCTACTATGTGGCTAGCCACTGTGCTGACCATCAGGGAAGGTAGGAACACCTCTGAGCTTCCTGCCACCTTGTTTAACACTCACTGTAGCCCTTATAAATGGCCAATTCCAATGCAGCTGATAACCTGTAACCTCATCCCAGTTTTTAATGTTTATAGCTAACATTTATAATGGTCTTCTTTTTTCAAGAAGAACTGACTGGTTTTATCATGTTTTGACTCACTTAATCTTCACAAAACCCTAGAAGTACTTATTATTATTATTATTATCCCTGTTTCTATATATAAAGAAACTGAAGCATAGAGGCATTAAATGAATTATACAAGGTCACACAATACTGGAAAGGGAGTCAGGGTTCAAATCCAGACAGCCTGGCTCCAGAGGTCACCTCTATCATTCTCTGGGTGCCCCTCTGTGTCTTTCTTGCCTGATGTTGCATCCCTAGTCCTAGGTGTCTCGTCTGGCCGTTCAGATCTGCTGCTTAGACTCCTTTGCTTTATTATTCACATAGTTGTCATAATAATGTCTTAAAACCATTAGATCATGCTACTGTCTTCATCAATAAGCCCAGTGACTGTCCATCTCACTTAAAATCCACACTCCTTAAGGGTCCTGCATAATCTGGCCACTGCCTATGCAGTGACCTCATCTTTACTACTTTGCCTGGCTTGCTGCCTTCCAGCTCTATTATTCTACATCAGGGTTGCCCCTAGAACTTCACTGCTTCCTGCCTCAGAGACAGAGATATTCCTGATTCCTCTGCTGGAGAGATTCTTTCCCTGTCATTATGTTTGCTTCATTGCTGAAGTTTACATAATATCATCTTCTCACAAGGTCCTTTCCTGACCATCCTTTCTACTACAGCTCATCAATTCCCAGGCATGGGATTTCCCTTACCTCATCCTATAGCAATTAAGTCACGCTCTGAAATAATATTGCAGTATCACATTCATAATGGCAGGCAATTTAATGTTACTCATTAATTTTTGATTTTTGGCAGGTGCTGAGGATGAACCCAGGGCCTTGTGCACACTAGGTAAGTGCTTTACCACTAAGCCACGCTTTAACTTGAGCGCTGAGAACTATGCCTAACTTGTAGTAGGCACTCAAGAAATATTTGTTGAATGAATGCATACTTGTGTAAATTTTTTAATTTCTTCTTTTTAGTTATGCATGAGAGTAGAATATATTTTAACATATCGTACATACTTGGGATATAACTTCCCATTATTGTGATTGTACACGATATGGAGTTACATTGGCTATGAATTCACATATGAACATCCGAAAGTTATGTTTAATTCATCCTGCTGTCTTTCTCATTCCCATCTCTCCTTCCTTTCCCCTAACTACTTCCTGTTCAAACTGGTGAACTTCCACACCTACCCCTCTCCAGCCTATTGTGAGCCAGCATCCACAGATCATAGAAAATGTTCAGCCTTTAGTTTTTTGGGGATTGGCTTATTTCATTTAGCATTTATAGTCTCCAGTGCCATTCATTTACCAGAAAATATCATAATTTTATTCTTCTTTATGGCTGAGTAGTATTCCATGGTAGTTTATTTACCCCATTTTCTTTATCCATTCATCTGTTGGAGGACACCTATGCTGGTTCCATAGCTTAGCTATTGTGAATTGAAATACTATAAACATTGATGTGGCCATGTCATTGTAATATGCTGATTTTAAGTCCTTTGGGAATAAACTGAGGAGTGGGATAACTGGGTCAAATGGTGGTTCCATTCCAAGTTTTCTGAAGAATCTCTATACTGATTTCCAGAGTGGTTGCAACTAATTTTCAGTCCCACCAGCAATGTATGAGTGTACCTTTTCACCTACATCCTCACCAACATTTATTGTTGTATTCTTGATAATTGCCATTCTGACTGGTGTGAGATGAGATTTCAGTGTAGTTTTTTAGTTTGTATTTCTTTAATTGCTAGAGATGGTGAACATTTTTTTAAATATTTGTTGATAGATTCTATTTTCTTTTCTGTGAAGTGTCTGTTCAGTTCCTTTGCCCATTTATAGATTGGGTATTTGTTTGTGTGTGTGTGTGTGTGTGTGTGTGTGTGTGTTAAGTTTTTTTTGAGTTCTTTATATATCTTGGAGACTAATGCTGTATGTGAGGTGTGGTGGCAAATTTTTTCCCATTCTGTAGGTTCTCTGTTCATGTTCTTGACTGTTTCCTTTGCTGTAAAGAAGCCTTTTAGTTTGATGCCATCCCATTTGTTGGTTCTTGATTTTATTTCTTGTGCTTTCAGAGTCTGAGGAATTCGGTTCCTAAGTTGACATGATATCGAGTTGGACCTACTTTTTCTTATAGTAACTACAGGGTCCTGGGTCTAATGCTTAAGTCTTTAATTCACTTTAAGTTGAATTTGTGCAGGGTGAGAGAAAGGGATTCAATTTCATTCTATTGCAGGTAGATATCCAGTTTTCCCAGCACCATTATTGAAGAGGCTATCTTTTCTCCAATATATATTTTTGATGCCTTTGTCTAGTTTGAGATAACTACATTTATGTGGGCTTGTCTTTGTGTCTTCTGTTCTGTACCATTGGTTTTTGTTGAGAGCCACAGCCAAAGGGGCCCCAGCAAACTTCCAGCTGCCAGCAAACTTCCAGCTGCCGGTTGATGATTGGCTCACAGCGGCCCCAGCAACATCTAGCTGATTGGCTCCTCTGCAGTGATGTTCATTGGGCTGTTTCCCTTCCCTTTCAGACCACGGAGCTGCTCATTGGGGGACTTCTTTGGCTCTGCCCACGCGATCCAGCCAATCAGCCTCAAGAGCAGGAGGAGTGGGGGGAGGTGGAGAGGCTTGTGGGAAGCAGGTGGTGGCAGTTGGGCTCTGAAGGTTTTTCCTGAGGAGCTGTTTTGTTTGGCATGTGTGGTTCTAAAAATAAAGTTTGTTTCTTTTGACAAGTGGCTCCTGAATTGTGCCCAGCCAGACTGCGGCAGGTTTTGATGCCAATACTATGCTGTTTTTGTTACTGTAGTTCTATAGTATAATTTAAGGTCGGGTATTGTAATGCCTCTTGCTTCACTTTTCTCTCTAAGTGTTGCTTTGGCTATTCTCAGCCTCTTATTTTTCCCAGTGAATTTTATGATTGCTTTTTCTATTTCTATGAGGAATGTCAATGGAATTTTGATTGGAATTGAATTAAATCTGTATAATGCTTTTGGTAATATGGTCATTTTGACAATATTAATTTTTCCTATCCAAGAACAAGGGAGATCTTTCCATCTTCTAAGGTCTTCTTTAATTTCTTTCTTTAGCGTTCTGTAGTTTTCACTGTAGAGGTTTTTTTTCCACCTCTTTTGTTAGATTGATTCTCAAGTATTTTATTTTATTTAGGCTATTGTGAATGGGATAGTATTTCTAATTTCTCTTTCAGTTGATTCATCACTGATGTACAGGAACACAATTGATATATGGGTGTTAATTTTATAATCTGCAACCTTGCTGAATTCATTTATTATTTCTAGAAGTGTTCTGGTGGAGTTTTTTGGGTCTTCTAAATATAGAATGATGTCATCAGCAAATTGGGATAGTTTGAGTTCTTCTTTCCTATTCATATCCCTTAATTTCTTTCTTTGTCTAATAGCTTTGGCTAGAGTTTCCAGAATTATGTTGAATAGAAGTGATTAAAGAAAGAATCCCTGTTTTATTCCATTTTTTGGAGGGAATGCTTTCAATTTTTCTCCATTTAAAATGATGTTGGCCTTGGGTTTAACCTATGTAGCTCTTACAGTGTTAAGGTATATGACAATAATTTTTGAATGAGTGAATAAATGTGTTCAGTCTCAATGATAAAACACAGATAATTTTAATACAATGTGGAAAAGTTTATGGGTGCATAGAAGAGGGATTCCTAAGGATTTCTGGAGGGATGCTGCTGAGTTGAGTTTTGGCAAAAAGTCAGGAGTTATTTAGGCTAAGAATGGGTGGAAAGGATTTTCTGATAAAAGAAAATGAAATAAGTGGATTTATAGGTGTGAACTAAGTATTACATATAAGGATTCCAAGTAGTTGGGTGTTCTGGAACCTTAAAATATAAGGTATGAAGAGACAGAAAATTACCCTTGGAAATAATACAGGTAAGGGATACTCTTAAATATTGAAATTAAAAAATGCAAAAAGCTACAAAAATTAAACAAAATCTTCTTGCACTTATAATGGAATGTATTAATAAAAATGATCATTCATTAGTATTCATTGTTTAGCCCAGATATTAAGAAGCATTGGTAGCATCAGACAGAGAAAGGGAAATAATGTCCTTATACCCATGGGCCACCATCCCAAGATGCAAGTGCATGCCTGGCTTGGCTGAGTTGGGATGATGAGGATTGGAGTAGTCGCACTTAGCAGTCCATGGATTACCCATGCCCCCAAATGTGGGCCCCACCACTGGGAGCTGTGGGGCTAACTCTCATTCCAGTTCTTATATCAGTGAGAAAAGAGAAATAGTTTAGTTTCTTGTTTGTTGTTTTCTCTTGCTGGATGAAAAACTTCTTGAGGGTACTTCGGCAATCTTCACTCTTGGCAGGAGTTCATAATCTTTGGTCTCTGAAACATCTGGTGAAATTTTCCTGCCAGCTATGCTAATTCCTAGCTATGAAACTAATGAAAGGAATTAATTTCTCTAACTCTGAAGCCTCTTCTCCTTCAAGGACGTCATTGAGTTAATGTGTGGCAACTAATGATATCATGAGGTAGCATTTCACCTGTTGGGAATTCTGCAATCACTGTATTTCAGTTCAGCAAATGTTTCCTGAGCACTGCTTTTTGATGGGTATTTGTATGAAGTGCTGAGGATATGACGTGAATAATGTAGGTCTGTTTAGAACCGCAGTGTAGTCTATATTCTGATGGGGAAGACAGATTGAATAAATAATCATGAACTAGCTATTTAAAGTCAGCTATGGGTGCACATACCAGGGTACCTGATATGGTCGAGAAGACAGGGATGTTCTTCTTGAAAAAGAGATGTCTTAGCCCAAACTTGAAGGTTAGATAGAAATTAGCCAGGTTGAGGGCAGGGTGTTGAGGTAGGGATGAGTCCTCCATTTAGACAGGGGTACAGACCTGCAGGTGTAAGAAAGCACATATGTTTGACAAACTACAAGTTGTCTGACATGATTGGACCAGAAAGAGCAAGGGGAAGTGATGACTAATGAGGCTGAAAGGGTCAAGAAGTGGCCAGATTTTGAGACATGTTATGGAGATGGGACAGTACCCTGTGGATGAATAGAAGTACCTAAAGGGTTTAAGCAGAAAGGTGACAGATATTTTTTCAAAATAAATTATTTTATATGTAGCAGATTGTTTGGAAACATAATAGTCAAAAACCAGGAAATAAGCAACCAGTGCTTCAGAGTTATCTAAATACATCTAATAAAGTTGCATACTGAGGTCTGTGACTTTTGTCTTACTCTTAAAGAATCCCTCTCTATTTTTTATGTTTAATTCCCATTTTGTTTACACAGTTGCAAAAGCTCTGCTGTCTCTCCTTTTTATGTTTTGTTGTCATTTCTCTCTTCTGCTTTTGTTTTCATTTTTTATGGTAAAATAGAAAACACTATACAGATGATCACTATTTAATTGAAACTGAAGGACAGTAGGAGTTAGCTAGATGAATAAATATTTATTCCTGTGTGAATAAAGTAATGAATGAGCCTATAGAATAGATAAAATATAAAGAAAAAGTTGAGTGAGAGTGGTCAGAATTGGCTACTGAAGAAGTCTATTTTATCTATTTATTTATTTTGTAGCATCAATTTTATTATAGATTTGTGAAAAGTAGATATTTGTTAAGAACCATCTCTGCTATCCCAGAAATATGGGAGAAGGGACAGAGAAGAGCAGGGCAGGGGCAAATGTCCCAGGAAAAAGTATCTGATGTCTCTTCCAGGTGGGGCAGAAGGGTTCCACTTACCTCCAGGTGTCTTAAGATGCCCTCCAGACTGGAGTATGTGGAAGGAGTCCAAGGCAGTCCGTTCTGACAGCTGTTCCACCTAAGTGAGGTCTTGTCATCTGTTTGGTTTGCCTATTCCCCTGCTGTCCACTGTCACTGGAGCTGCTTTGTTTCTGAATCTTCTGCGTGTCTTTGCTCCTTTCATTGAAGGCACTTTGTTTCTGAGTCTAGGGCCTATCTTTTGGGCCAGCATACAACAGCCCATCCATAAGACACAGGCCACAATTCTCTGAGTCACCCCTTCAGACCTTCCTGTTACAGGAGCAGCCTGTGGTTCCACCGTGGGGTTTCTTGGTGAGGAGGGAGCTTTCCTCTGACAGCACACATTGAGAAGACTTGCTGCTCTCTGCCTCCCATCCACTGCTGCTCTACCAGGAGGCTGGCGGCAGGGCTGTAAGGACATGCTGGCGCCTCTGCTGGGAGTCGGGTGCTTTCCTGCAGCTTTAGAGGGGAATGATTGTAGGTTGGTTCTTCTGCTGCTCTTCTGCCCTGTCTGTTTGTTCTCTTCAGGCAACTGATGGTCATGCAGGCAAGAAGTGGAAGGAAGGCTCACTGGCACTCCTCTCTGGGTGAAGAGTGAAGCTGAAATGATCTGAGGGGCATGGCAAGGCCCAATCTTGTGCCCAGACTTCATTTGAACTGTGCGGCCTGCTCCCTACAGATCCTGTTGCTGGAGCATAAGATATATAGTCCTCACCTCATCAAATTTTCTGCTCATCAAAGATACTATGGTTTTGTATAGGCCATAACCAGGTCAACCATGACCTTCATTATTGAGGAGTCTGGGTATTTGGGGATTGACTCACTTGAATGACTCAGTGACTGTTGCTCAGTCTCAGTGCCCCATGATTTTATCTACTGTGAGCCTCTGCATAGGGTCTATGATTAGTAATTGAGCAATAAGGCTTTGTATGTCAGTGGACATGTGAGAGGGAATGTCATACCTTGCAGGCAGGACTTGTTCCTTTAGCTACCCAAAGATGGTCCCATTAAATGAGAGGCACCCTGTGATCATAAAGTACAATAGGACACCCAGGCTCCAGATGTCCATGGGGCCATCATATTCATGCCACTGTTAGAGCTCTGGGACCCAGTATAAGACAGTGCCACAGATCATGTTCAGCTTCCATCCAGCTGTGAGCATGTGGCCCAGGCTGAAGTCATGGAGCTTGATTTTCTTTGGGCATCCACTAGGATGACCTCTGACTTCAGGTGTTTGTGTGTGATGCTGTTCTCAATGGCAGTAGCGCATGCTGCAGGTCATCTACTTGAACACTCTCTGGGTCTCCCCCTCTTATATGCCCATGGTCTCTGGGATGTGGTGCAGCAGCACTACACACTACCTGTGTGTTCCATGATGAGCAAACATTTCTAATGGTCTCAACAACTTGAAACAGTTGGATGCCATTAGGGTGTTCCACATCCTTCTTTATGTCCACCTCAGATAGAATGAGGGGCAAGTCCTGCTCTACCTTTCACGGGGATTTCACAGCCATCTCTGTCCCTGTGTGGATATGTTGGGCCAGTTTCACTTGGGAAAGCTGCCCGGCCCAATGTCACTCAGAACCTGATAATGCATGTGAGGGCATCCTTTATGAAGAATGTGGACTAGAGGCCCTGCCACACTCCATTAACTCCACTACTCTGACTGCCTTTGCTACACATTCAAAGCAGAAATAACAATAAAGGAGACTAGCTAAACAAACCAAACACCCAAATCAAAAAACTGATCCAAAGACCAAAACCAGAACCACCAAACCACCAAACCAGCTGTCTGTGAGTCGGAGAGGTCACCTCCAATGGCGACCTGTGCTTATGGACAATAACCCAACTGCAGCCAGGGATTTACATGGTCAGTGTTTGAAATTTGCTTACAATGGCTTCTTGTGATTCAGAGCAAGACATGGCCTTGTCATATTTGGATGTAGACCACAGTGTTTGTCTCACGCTGTGACCTCTAGTATCTTTTCCTCTTTACTAATAAGAAAAGGCTCCAGAAGCTTTTTGCTTCAGTGGATTATAGAGACTGTTATTTACTTGTTTAGAAATTAAAACCTGTAGATTTAAATGGCCCTTTCATTTCAAATCTGGAAATCTGTGATAACTTTTGCCTTTTAAAGATCTCATCGTATCTGTACTCAAGGTATTCAGTTCCTTTTTCTTCCAACTCAGAATGAGTGGTGTCAAAACGATGACAGCCCTTCATTCACATCATGACACTGTAACAAAATGCTCTGTTCCCTAAGACAACTTAGGGATGTCATTAACATCTATGGGGCTGAGAGGAAGGTCACTTTCATCATAATTTTCCCATCAGGTCTTTATCGCATTTTTCACCAGAAACCCTGAAACTCAAAAGGCAGTGGGTTGGTATATTCGAAATGATGAAGGACAAGCCTGTCATCCAAGAATCCTATGGCCAGCTAAAGTGTCCTTTCCATGGCAGAGAGAAATGGAGATGTTCTTAGATGCCTCAGTCTCTTCGTGCTACTGTATCAAAATACCTTAGGTTGGGTAATCTTTAACAACAGAAATGGATTTCTCATTGTTCTGGGGTCTGAGGAGCACTTTTTACTGGGGCATCAGAAATGAAACAGAACCTAGGAAGCACTTTGGTGGGATGAGATTAGGGCTGAAGAATTCAGGTGTCACAGGACAGGAGTGTGTTACTTCCCCCAGTGGAGTCCAGGGTTCAGGGGCTGCATAATGTGGAACCTGCTGATGGGAAACTTAGGGTGTGGCAGTCTGAGCCCAGAGATAAGGATGGGACACCTCAGTAAAGAAGTGGGGCTGCAGGATCCTGGCTGGTAGACTGGTGGTCTTGACTGTCCATACTGTAAGGGGAGAGGCTGGAGGTATAGGGCCAGGATGTACTTCCCAGGTGGGGACTTAAAGGGCACAGAGCAGGTAGAAGATGTGGCCTAAGTTTTAAGCTCTGAAGAACATGGTAGCTGATGGCATCTACACAGACTTTAGGTAAAAAGGCCAGGGTGAGCTCAACCTGTGGTGGTTTTAATCAGAAAGAATCTGGGAGTCAGGGTGGCAGCGGGGTTATGGCTTCAAGTGGCTCAGGAGGCACCAGGCTCTTTCCATCAGGTGGGAAGAGCAAGGCCAGGGTCCTACTTTTGCAGCCACCTGGGATCCAGTGTGCAGAATGCTCCATGGAGCCACAGGCAGATGTGAACCAGAAACACTTTCTTGAGAGTGACTGGATTTTTTGAAGTGTACTTTAGATATATTTTCATAAGATATTAAAAATCTTTCATCTAAAAGGAGTCCATTGCTATAACAATAATGACCAATGAAATCTATGAGAATTTGGGACAAAACCAAGTCACCACAATATGCGAGCTTTTAATTTAGGTGTCATTTTGGAAGAATGAAGAACAATTTATAGTTTCCCTACTTCAAAGGCTTATCACTAATATTGCTAATTTAATATTTTTCCCAAGGAAAATCACACTTGAAATTAGTCATATACTATACAATTTGCCTATTTTGATAATTAGAACTTTTAATGCTTGGTCAGGGAAAATTAAGGGTAATTAAGTAGACAGAGTTTGATAGCTATTTAAACCTAGTTCTTACCCAAGTTTTAAACTACACCTTAAAGTTGTGCTTTCCTAATTCTGTTGTTTGGTTTTTTTACTTTACTGGAGTACAGGCTATCTGCTCTGTGACTTCTAAAGTTTTTTTCATTTTAGAACTTGGGGACTGGAAAACAAAGGTGTTCTACTTTGATACAGGTCTATTTAGAGCAAATGGAAGGATCCACAGATTTTGGAGGCAGATTACCTTGATCTGAGGTTTTTCTAGTTCTCGTCCCAGCTATAGAGTGAGGCACTTGCTCAGATTGGGCTTTTACACATTAGGAGTCAGTGTGCCTGGATTTTAATCTTGGATGTATCCTTCACATACCATTTGACCTTGGGAAACTTTTTAAGTCTGATTTTCTCCACCAAGGATGATGATTAAGAACAAATATGAAAGACAGCCTCTGTTCCTACTGTCAGTGGTCGTCCCTATTGTGGTCATGGCGTAGTGGTACTCCAGCACTGTTAGCAGTGCTATCACCTCTACACTTCCAGCAGTGACCAAATGAATGACATCTGTCTTTTCTATGCAACAGAGCTGTGGTCAGAGGAAATACGTTGATATATAATCTAAATCAGAAATCACTGGGCAAATACTTGTGGTATCTTTGTATTTTTTCATTAGTTTTCTTTCCTTCTTTCCTTCCTTCCTTCCTCCCTTCTTCCATTCCTTTCGTCTAGAAAAGACTGCCATGTGCAGCGTCTCATTTGGATGTGTCTGGAATCCTGGAAGCTTGACCACTCTATCTTCTCCTATAAATGGACCTCCAGAGCTTGTTAGAAGGGCTTGCAGGGGAGCCTGGCTACTTTTATATACTCAACAAAAGAATGGTCCTCCTTCATCAGGGAAGGTCATCCTCTTCAACTGGGCATGCCGTTTTAGGAAGTCTGACATGAGTAATGAGGGAGGAAGAGGAAACTGGTCTAGCCAGCCAGGTAAGTTGAGTCAACCCTGTCAATCAATAGGTTGACAGATGTTGCAGCCAGATTACACTCTCATCCACTAATTTCTTTAATGCTTGAGATTATGACAGGTTTACTGGATATTTGGAGAATTATGAGAAGTATTTGTGTAATTCATCATTCACATGATTTCAAAAACATAATCACCCAGTTAATCTTTTTTTCCTGTTTAAAAATCAGTGACATTGGTAGGAAAGATGCTATTTATTTTGAATATTATCATATATAAAGAAAGTGGGCAGATTTCTAAAAATGTATGAAAAAGTCTTCTATCTAGGAAGACTCTTCTTTGATTTGGCTTTGTGTATACATCCTAAGGATAAGACACATATTAAAACTATTGTCATGGGTTTGCATCATTATACAAGTTGCTGCTTAGTTTCTCATAATATTTCCCTAAACATGTGCATTGTTTCCAAGGGTTTGGTATTATAAGATGTTCTCCTATGTATGTATGTATGTATGTATATATA